CACGACGCTGCGAAGTGTCGCAGTGAACGGCCCTGGCTGAGACAGCAGGAGGCAAATCGCAGCCTTTGATGGAGAAGATGCTTTGGCCAGGGTGCGGCTGGCTGACGGTGTCCCGGTTTCCCCGTGCTAACCTGTACCTCCCCAACAAGCTGCACCCCTTGGGCCACTCTCTGCCACCTGAGGAAGACAGCAGCTAGTGGTACAGCACCTGCAGAGTAAATGACAGCGCTATCGCTCTAAGGAGGAGCCCGTGCCCTTAAAAACTCTTGTTTAATGTAAAGATGTCAGCCGTGGAAGAGAGAGGCTGCGCTGTGAAGCGTGTCCTTGCCTGGCTTTGCTCAGTCCGTGGGAGCTGGTGCTGCAGTGAGTTGGGCAGAGGTTGCGGGTGGAGCTGTCGGTGGGGTTCGTTCTCAGGCGGGGCCGATTAACCTGAGCCAAAACTATGAATATCTCCCCACCTCCCTGAGAATATGAAACCTGGTGGGAAGAATTGCACCATGAAAAGCAATATACTATTGACCTGTTTAGTTTTTACCCATTTAAAAATCTTTTCCCTATTGTATCTGTCAGCTGGCTGGCTTTCCCCAAAAGCTGTGGAGTCACTGGTGAGATGTCCCCATTGAAGACCAATTTCTTGGCATCGCCGCTACAGTGGACGATGGAATAGCTGAAATAAATATTAGGACAACTTTATATTCTGAAGGGAACAGGTGAGGGCTTAAATTCACGGCTTTGTGATTTACTCTGCATTTTTGTGCACCACTGACATCTTAACTATGCCATGTAAGCTCGGCTGCAGAGCTTCTGCCCAAGAGCCCGTAAGGGAGAGGGGATTTGCCGTGAGACTCTGTGAGGGTTTGTGATTTGGACCGCTGTCATCTACCGGGCTGCTGGGAGAGTTGTCAGAAACTCTCTGAAGTCCCCTGGAGTTCAGGTGTGCGGTACGGTATCTTGCCACACAGCAGAGAGCTTTCTTGCCCACCAGCGCTCTCTGAAACACGTCTCTCTTTCCTCATGTTTCAACTTTGCACAAGTTTCAGGGGGGCTCCTACGCCGGTAAACGTGCCGGGTCCCTCACCGCGCGCTCATAAACCCAGCCCATTTTCTGGAGAAGAAAGTCCAGTTAATTCACTACTTTGCAGTCACCCCGAACTTCTATCGGATGATGGCGATGGAAGTACACACGACGAGGACAGCCAGCTGTAGATCTTGACCGAGCAAGGGGGCTGGGGAGAGAAGTCCCCTTCAGCAGGGGTTTGACTGGCAGAGGATGATTGGAAAGCCATGCCCACAGACTATGGCTGCTGGAGAAGCTGCACAGATTCATGCTGCTGCTGCGTAAAGCAGACGGTCTCCCTCCTGCTTCCACCACTTCTCCCTCTCACTCTCGGGTGCGTTGGACTCGTGCGGCAGTCACTCAGCCTGTCATCTCACCAGCCTGTGTTTTTGTTCTGAGCCCAATGAGTCTTTTGCTAGGTTAGCAAGTTCAATGGCTTGTAGAGTCCAAAAGTGCCAACATCACCACTAAGCAAATGCAAGAAGTACGGCGGGGGGGGTGGTGGTGGTGGTGGTGGTGGGAGCAGTCATCTCCCATCTCTTGAAATTATATCTTTGCTAAATTAGAAAGATCTCTATTTTTATCCAGCTGGCATGATAATTGATTTTGCAGCCATCCTCCTACCAGGGATGCCACTTGGCTGTGAACCTTAATGCCTTGGGTAGCGGCTGCTCAATTTGTCCTCGTGACGAGGTTTCCCTACTGCATTCTACCCACTGCCCTCTTCTTCCAGGGAGTCCCAATAACCTACATCTCCCCGAAACCAGTTTGCTTTAGTTTAATACCAGTGACACTCTGGCCATTCCTAGTTAACAGGCACTGTTTTATTTCCTTGGCGGTGCAAATATCTATGCCTCGCAAAAGACCCCTCTCCTGAACTTGTCTCCAGAGACCACAGCGCCTCACCCACCCCACCTCCCGTACTGACCCTTTCCCCGGGGCGATTGTGTGAGCAAAGAGCTCCCAGCACCCCAGTCCTGGCCACAGCACCCCGTCCCTTTTCTTGCGCTGGTTCTGGTGCTCATTAAAACCTTTTAGACACAGAGTCGATTGCAGAAATGTCTTCCCCTCTTCCCTGGGGTTAGCAAGAAGAATGAGTTTGTGTAGTGTCTGATCAGTAGCAAAGGTGGTTCAGGGTAAAGGTTCGAGGGGGGCCTCTGCCTTTTGGCAAGGGAGATGTTAAATCATCTTGGTTTGTGTAGTTTCATCACCAGAGCATCCCTTCAGAAGTGTTTTTTTTTCTTCTATTGAACTGTCAGTCTCTGCAATAAGTTACCAAATGACGTAGATGGATGTTGCTCATTACTGAGTCTTACGATACAGCGGTAACCCATCGCAGGTGGGTATACTGGGTCTGGGGTGCTTTAATGAAGTTTTTCTTCCAAGTGGAGAGCAACATGGCAATAGCACCAGCTTGAAGGCTTGTAACATGTTTTTTCTGCAGCTCCTCTGACAGTGCTTGTGATGAAAAACATCAAGAGACAGGTAAATCATAGAATCACAGAATGCATTGGGATGGAAGGGACCTTTCCAGGCCATCCAGTCCATCCCCCTGCCATAGGCAGGGACATCTACAACCAGACCAGGTTGCTCAGAGCCCCATCCAGCCTGGCCTTGAATGTTTCCAGGGATGGGGCATCTCCCACCTCTCTGGGCAA